TTTTGCTGAAGTTACTACAGATTTATTGTCAACTCAAGAAATCGAAAACCAGGATGAAGTATCAACATCTATTAAAGAAGAAAATGATTTACCTGACATTATAATAAAACAAGCAGAGGAGGAGGTGCCAGTTGTGTTGACAAAACAGAACTTAGAACCCAAAGCAGATGGAAAAGAAAATCGTAAAAGACAACACAAATCAGGCCGTAAAGGACGTCGCAAAAAAGGTGGTGTGAAAACAGGCTACAAACCAGCCCCTAAACCAGGTCGAAAATCAATTCGCTAAATATAATATGTGGCTTTAAAAAATCAAATCAAAAGAGTTTATAAGATTAAGTTTACCATATATGAAAATAAAATATAAAATTAAATTTTAATTAATATACATTTTACTATAATTTCTTATATATATTTTTATATATTTATAAAATATATAGTAAATTCAATACATGTCTAATCTAATCAAAATATAACAATCCACTACGATTAAATTAATTTCTATTTTTAATTGTTATAATAACAAACTCATTTCTGTAGCAAATTAAGGACACAAATCAATAAAATAAATTTGTTAACTAAATTATTAACTCTATGATTCAAAATACTTACTAATAACCAAATACACTTTGTTCACAATATTTTTAAAGCAGAGACATAAATACAACAGCTGATTAATGACTTGTTTCAAGTTGAGTAATATAAAAGTGTTGGTGTGAACACTGTTTTTTCTTTCAAATTCATTAAACATATTTAATGTGTCGGTCTTAATATTACTTAGGGAATGTAAATGCTTTGCTTTGTATTATAAAAATCAATTGGTCGCAACAGTAATCTACAGTGCAAAAGACCATAAAGTTGCAATTGAGGACATCTTTCATATAAACAAAGCAATAGAAAGTAATTTGAGAAATATAATAATAATAAAGATAATGATGAATATTTAATAGAATCTCAAATATCTTAATATTCCTTTCGTAAAAAGCTGATTGAAAAATCAGCTAAAGTCTATAGTTTAAAAGTTATATATATTGCTTATTATCCAATATATATCCTTTCTAGCACACGCCAATACTAAGTTAGTACAGTTTGAAACAGTATTTACGTGAAAATCTGAATTACCTGCTAACTTAGTAAGTTACTTATATGACTTCAAAAATTTGTTGTTTCCATTGACATAAGTTACTTATTGCATGTGAAACAAATTTTATGTGTCAGAAAGTTTTGTGAAAGTTTAAAGACAGCTTCTATCTGTTAGGGCCATGTAACGCAGAGTGTCTCGGGTACGGCATGAGTAAAACAATATGTCGATTCAAATTCCGGCATGAGAGCCGGTGTATTTGTGCCTCGACACTAAGGCAAAAGAGTGTTGATTAGTAATAAATTTTAGAATTTGCGCCTTTTAGGATTTTACAATTTTAATACGTTTTGGAGAAAAAATGACAGTAAGCAACACAGCCTGTTTTCATAAATCGCTAATAATATAATTATTAAATATAAATTAAATATATAATTAATATATTTATCATTTATATACATTTTATATATCAATTACATATTCAATTGATAAAAACAAAGATTTTATTAAATACTTACTTCCTTAGTGTCTTTGTTTACAGCTCAGCTGTTGTTTGAATGCATTTTGCATACAAAACATATGACACATATTTCAAAGTTAGTAGTTTTCTTTGTGGCAAATTTTTTTTGTGGGTTACATTTGACATTTTTCACCTTAAAGCGTTGTACAGGCTATCATTTTTGAGTGTCATTCAATAGAGAAAATCTAAGAATGACATTCAAAAATGATAGTGTGCACGTTTGAATGACACACAACCAACATGTTGGCGTGCTCACCAAAGTTTTGGTAATTGTTTGTCTACTGCTTTTTGTTTTTTTTAAAGTCGAGTTAAAGTAACAACTTAATATGGCGTTTACACTGACCGCAAATGAATCATTTGAAATCAGTCATTTAAGAGTCTTTACATTCGCTGTTATTCATTTATTCTCATTTCAAACAGCTGATTTGTCAACGAGCCTGTTGATTTAATTTGGAACTCATTTAAAACTCGTTGGAACTCATTTATGCAAAATGAGCTCCATTCCGCGAGTGTGGATCCCATTTGCGCATATAAGATTTTGTATGCAAAAATCAGTCATTTGCTTTGCAATTGTGATTTTTGACCCATATCAGTCATTTGAGGTACATGCTATATAACTATGAACTTTGGTAGTTCATTTGATTAAATGACTCTGCGGTTGGTTATGCTTGTTATGCTAACAAGAGTGTTGGATGTGTTGGGTCAATATAAATGTACAATCTCTTCAATAAGATTTTAATACTGATTATAATAAAAGCTTACTTAAATTTTTTTCAATATTCCCGTGCAGATTTTTATATCGTTAACTATTATTTTACTACAAATTAAAATAGTCCATCAATAAACGTTAAAAATGATCTCTACAAAAAAAAAGACATTTTGGAACACTGGAAATAAAAATAAATTTTTAGGAACAGAAATTTTTATTTTGTTTTGTTCCCAAAACTTTTTGTTCTTTCTTTTATTCACAAAATCTTTCCGCAATGGAAGAAGGCGCAGAGTAAGTTTTTTAAAAAATTATTTTAATTAAAAATTATCTATTATTTAAGAAAATAATTAAGATTTTTGTTATGTAGAAACTGAATATATGATTATTGTTTATGGTTTTTTTCATTTTCGCAGTAACAGTAATGAGAAAAACACTTTGGAAAGCCTGAGACGGTTAAAGACCCCAGTAGTACTTGGCCCACCTCTTGAACATAAAGAGTAAGTCTGAAAGAAAATTATTCGAATCAAAATGTATTAAGTATAACATTATTCATTCCAACTAATAAGTACTGTATCCTTACAGTAAGTTTGCCAGACATGTATGGACATGTCTGGCGAGATGAATTAAATTGTCAATGTTTGTCTGTCTATAAGTTAGTTTGTCTGTTGTATTGTTAATTGCTTCAGTTTTTAAGCCTTTCGATTAAGCACTATTAAGCTACACTACGCCTTTGGAGGAAGCATGTCAAAGAATAGATTATTCTGATCGACTATTGGGTGTTAATCGAGCGCCCAAACATATATCACGAAAAATATGGATCTTAAATCATATAACTAAACAATCATTTGTTGATTTTAAGACATTCTTTCTCTATATCACATTCGTAAAACTTTATTTGTGGCATAAAATGTGATCCTTCAAAGTTTTCCAGAATTTATTTTTAACTCACTATAAAAATGTATCTGCAAAAAATCTTTTGTAAAATATCAAATTGGTAAAAAGACTTTAAATGTTTTTTAAAGAAATAAAATAGTAAAATTTTAAGTATAACAAAATTTCATTTTTATATAGAAATTATATATTTTAATTAATTTTAAATATACAATCTTTTATTTCCATTTCTAGAGTAACTGATTATACACAAGATGAACTGGACGCTGCTGTTGGGTTGTTAATGTTAGAACAAATGCCTGTAGTATTCCCAATAGGTGATGAGAATTTCGGCCCACCGACTTATACAAATGCTGGTTCAAAAAAACGTCTTGATGACAACTAAAAACATGTGGTTTCTAGTCAGTTCGTTGAAATATTCAATATTTTTTATATGAATAATATTTTGTAAAAATATGTGTACATATTAAAAACCACACAATTATATTAACTACACACAATTACTATAACTATCTTTTGATATATTATTTATTATATTAAATCATATATAATATTTTACTGTACAATACTCAATACTTTGTGGGTAGTTTCTTTTTTCTTTTTGGGTATTGTATTTAAAATTCTCAGAATGTATCATATATAAAATAATTTTGTTTTATATTTTTCTGCTATATTTTATACAACAAAAAGAATAGTTCTTGGATAGATTAAACAGAAAAAGAGTAACATCATTTGATACTTGCTCTTACAACCTTAGAATCTTATAAGAAATTTAAAAATTTAATTATTATATTAAACAATTTGCCATCAGCCACCGACTGCTTTCTTATGCGCAACGTACCATCAAAGAGCAATTGGTGTTACAATACTTTTTGCCACTCACTGTAGTCAAATTATATTGAAGGCATAAGGGAGCAACTGCTGTTCAATCGTATGCAGTACAACAGTTTGAATAGTATTGGTAGCAATAGTTTTTTTTTGTTCTTTACTTTGCACACATAATTCGATATTGGTTTTTATAAGGGAGGAAGGGGCAGCTGATTCTTATAGCACAACTAATTTGACTCCAAATTAATAAAATTAATTTTAGTTTATAATTTTATTTGTGACCGAAAATATTATATAATAATTTATTAGCGGGCTAATTGGTCATTTAAATAGCAATAAAAAAACTGTAATTTATTATTTATATTTAAAAAGATTTTATATTTTATTAAAATACTTTTTCGATATTTCGTTTATCTTCGATATTCATCTTCAGTCCCCTTCTTTCCTGAAACCTTTTAAAAGCCTTTTACATTAAAAAAAAAGAAATTAATTAATTTTTTAGTTAATAATTTTGTATTAAACTACTGTTGTCTGTTTTTTGGATAAAAAAAATAAATATTTTCTTTTTGTAATATCATTTAAACAATTTTTCTTTTTTTTTTTGTTAATATTTTCAGGTGTATAATTATTGAAAATTAAAGCATACAATAATATTTAATTTCCCTTAACATGTGTTATTGTTTATTTTTAAAATAGTAACTAAACAATAATAACCAACAGCTTAAAAATAACACCTAATAACAAATTAATTTTAATGAACATATTTTTTTATATTTAATAATAGTTAATCTACAAATTTATAAATATTTTATGGTATAATCTTTACTAATATTTATTATTAATTTTACTAAAATATTTATAACATTAAACTAGTCCAATTAGTACGAATTTAAAAAAGGACAGTTTAAAAATCACTGTATGTAAGTTTGACGTTCAAAATATTTATTTGCCGCCAAAACAGATACTGCGATTAGAAAGTAATAAAAGTTCTGTACGCTATAGCGGTAGTGTGAATAATTTATAAATTTAAATTAATTTAATGTAAGTGATTTCATTGGTTGTATAAAAAATTTCAAAATGTAGTGTGTAAATGCAATATATAGTGTTTTGAGTAAATTTGGTTTTATTAATAAAAAATTGCATTAAAAATTTATGCGAACTAAGTTATAAAAAGCTTTTTTACTTTAAATATTGCAGCCCCTAAATTTTATAAAATACATATAACAAATGTACTGAGTAAATGTCAACAATACAGTAATAATTATTGAAAATATATTTCAAAATTTTAATAAATATTTAAACAATAAGACGATTGGTTTAAATATCTTATACTTCGTTTTTAGCTTTTTCCTTTGCACTTTTTTTTGTGGTTTTTAAAAAAAAATATATGTAAAAAGATTTTGCACTTGCAATTATATATAGAAAAAGAATTATATATAAAGTATTTTTAATATTATATTTTAAATTTTATATATATTGTATAGATCGGCCAATTACTATCAAAATTGAAAAAAATAAACAAATAAAAAATTTTTTGGACACTGGACTCTAAAGTTTCTACAAGCTGTAAGCCGATATAATTATTTTAAGACTCCTGAAATACTGAACGATATGCAAGCAAGAAAAAAGTAAGTAAATTTATAAAATAAAAAAATAAATGAATAAGTAAAGTAATAACTAAAAAAATGAAATAAAAAATAAATGGTTAAATATCTTTGTAATAACAAATAATTTTTTATTTTTTTATATATATAACTATTTTGTGAATGTATATATATATATATATATATATATAATGTATATATATTTATATATAACTAATGTGTTGAATAGTAATTTCCTATTTTTCTTCCCGACATTTCAGCTGGACTCAATATACTCATCACGAATTGGACGCGGCATTTGGTTTAATAATGTTAAGTCAGGCACCGGTAGTGTTTGCAAATAATCCTTCACAATTAGAGTCGAGTCAAGAAACCAGAAGCGATGATGAAGCACCATCAACAAGTAAACAATACAAGAGACGTAACAAAACGAAAAATGCTGGACAAAAATTATTTGAATTTATAAAACCAGGCGTAAGACCGCCCTCCAAGAAAGCCCAAAAACTCATAAAAAACCAAGATGAAACACAACAACCAAACACTGATCCAATAGAAGTTAAAGAATATAACGCACCTAACCAAACAAAAAAAAATGGAAAAGAATCATTTGTGATTATAAAACCGACTGCGGAACAGGTCAGAAACCATGGTAGCAAACCTGTAGTTTTAAAAATAAGAAATTCTTTATGATTAAATTATTTTTATATAATATACATAAATTTTAAAAATATTAACTTAATTATAAAAATAACGAATATAAATTAGAATCAGTTAAAATTTAATGTAATTAGAACTTAAGATAATATTATTAGTTTTATAGTTTATATTATAATATGTTATTGTATTGTCATTGTTCCAAATGTAATTAAATCTTAAGATAATATTACTATTTATGCAGTTTGTATTATAATATATTACTTATAACTAATATTCAATGAGTAAAACATTTTAGTATTAATTATTTTTACTCATCTAAATGTAATTAGATCTTGAGATACTATCTGTATAGTTTATATTATATTGTTTTATTAAAAATTAACATTTAATGATTAAAATATTTGAGTGTAAATTGTTTTCATTGTTCTTAATGTAATTAGATTGTGAGTTAATATAATTATCTATATAGATTTTATCATCATTTTATATTATTTATAAATTAAATTTAATAAGTAAATATTATTAGTATAAATTTTTTTATTCTAAATGTAATAAGATCTTCCAATATTATTATTAACTTATAATATTATGCTATTTATAATTTACATTAAATTAATAAATAATTTGAGCATTAATTTTTTTCTCTCCTTTCACGTCCCTTCACTTATGGCTATGATAACATGTTTGCTAAAGATCGTGGTATATAATCCGCTCATCTGTGCACTCTTAAGTGTAGTCGTCAATACTAATTTATAAGTTTTTGCATTAACGATTATATGGTTTCATAAGATTATAGTTGATTATTTTTTGCAGTATGTGGAAGCATCGAAAGCCACCGTGTGAGACTTGAACCCACTAAACCATAATTATAGTTGATTGATATCAAATATTATAGAACTTTATTTAAAAAATGATTAATAATATGCAAGTCCCGAAAAGGTGATTAATAATATATAAGTCCCCAAATACCTAGCTCTTTGTATGAGCGACATCGAAGGTGTCTCTATTGCAATCCAGCTCTAGAACCATGTTTACAATAACCCCTTGCCCAGAGTTTGCTCTTAATCAGTAATCACTACCTAACAAGAACATGCTCACTTTCTCCTTTCACTTATCTCTAATTTTGCCCTCGATATATTTGTTATCTAAATACTAAGTCTTTTGTATTTTAATTTGTGCCTTTCTCTTGATTACTGGATTCGACTTTCAGCTTTTGGCCATTGCAGTTTAATAACTGAAATTTGTCTATTTTGCATTCCTAAGATATGGTTTTTTTTTAATTTCAAGTCTCACAATATGGCTTTGGATGTATTCGAGCTACTGAAAAAAAATTAATTAATTCAATTATTGATTCAACGCGTTTATTAGGACAATTTTTCACTCTGAAATGCTTTAAATTCCAAATAATTCTTTTGAATTATTTTAGCCATTGTGGGCATATTTGCTGTTCTCTCCATTAGAGTAACTGATTGCTGTTTTATTATAGTCTAAGCTCTTTACCCGAGATTGCTGAATATAGCAAATGATTTCAATCAGTTTTTATTTTGCACGCAGAAAAAAATTTATATATATATTTATAAAAATATATATAAAAATTAAAATTAATTAATAAATTGACGGTTTTTCTAATATACTTGTTGAGAAATGAGTCTATTGCAACACCACCGTAATTAGTGCATTGTGACCTGATCATAATTAAAACTGTTGATGAAAATAAGATTGACGTTTGTTGGCTGAGTGGTCAAATTAGTTGTACCGTAAGCAATCAGCTGATACGTTTAATCTAATTGACAATAAAACATTCAATCATTCATGCTCAAATATAAACAAGAAAACACATAAGAATCTATAGCTATTCTGCCATAAGTTTATACAAAATAATAAAGCACAATTTTTACCGACTTTCTGCCGTTCAAGTGGAACTATATTTTTATTACTATTATTAGCGTCTACTTGAAGTTGGTTGCTTATTCACATATAAGAAAGATCTTTTTTGGTTTTACTTTGCCGTTAGATGGCAAAGTGAGCGCCACAGATGTGTTCGCCACAAATCAATTGAATTTAGTTTAAACGTAACGATATTCGAAAGATGTTCTGTTGTAAATTTTCTTTCATATCTTTATCACTTTTTGTGCATTATGCCGTTCACATTTAATATGTCTACGTGTTTTGAAAACCATTAGGTGATCAATTCTACCTTATGGATTATTCGTGCTGAATATTTTCTACATCTTATGACAGCTAAGTAAGCCTTTATTTTGGGAGTGCACCGCATGAGCAAAGAAAAGAGATTAGAATTCACCAAGAGTAAAAATTGCGTTTCGATATAACAATACCAGGCCACATGCAAGTTTTATAAGTCTTAACAAATTGACGGCACATGCTTGGAAAGACTTAATGCATTAATGTCATATAGCTCGAACCATCTGACTACCATATACTGCGGTATTTTGTGGAATTATTTGAGATTACCGCATTCTAAACAAAGTTGCACCAAATAATGGATACCACATTATATCAATTAACGATTTTACGCTATTATCGCTAATTATATCATTAATTTTAGACGTTTTCGGTGGCTTTCAAGTTTGACAAAAAAAACTCATACTAGCCTATATTCGCAAAGCGTGACATTGGCAGCACTGTCGCAATCTGTCAACTATTATGTTTTGGCGAAAAGCAAATCTTGCATATGTGCACCTAATGCAAGCAAATAACATTTTTTATAAAAATAAATAATATAAAATTGAAAATTAAAATGAATTCAGAATAAAAAGGATTGGTAAGAATGTTGGAAGTTTCAAAACAAAATACTAATATATTTTATTTTTCCCCAATTTTCCAATTTATGAAATTTTTGAATTTCATAAATTGTTTGAATTTTAGTTTGCATGTGATTTTTGACATATGATCGCAATATTCGTTGGAATTTCCAATGAAGGTTCGCAATAGTTCGCTTATTGCTTTGGTAATACTTTTTTCTTTACTGGCAGAAGAGTTTCGAGCCACTGAAAACGCCTTTTATAGCAATTAGTCGTATTTTTTTTTACAAAATCTGTACATAAATGTTTAAAACTTACTGTCAAAATAGAATATTTGTTTTTAAATCACTTTTAATGAGAGAATTCGGTAACAAAATATTTCAATATACCACACATATGTGCAAATATTGGTACAAATAAAGAAAAAATATGAAGGCGAATCGTATTGAAAAATAAATTTCAAGGAAATATTAACTTTTTGATATGTTAAACATGAATTAAAATAATGCAGATTTTAAAATTTCACATTATTTGATTTAATACTTTTAAAGCCCACTGTCAAACTTAAAACTGTTAATCAACAGTTTGAAAGTTTCTCACTCTTTTACATGAATTTTTTAGTTTGCTGGCTCCGCTACATTTTTTCAAACTGTTCTCATAAGTTAACTTCACAAGTGCTCTGTATAATGTAAATAAATACGAAATTAATAAAATATATAAATTAATTATTTGATTTGTGGTAATTTTACTTTATTTAAAATAATTTAAAGTTATAATTTTTTGGTTCTACTATATTTAATGGATATAATAAATGATTGTTTTTATAACTGATCGTGTCTATATACATAACAGGAATTTGTGTTCTCAAAGGCGCCACTTATGTCGGCGACTTCTTTTTTATTTTGTGGTTTTTTATATATTGAAATTAAAAACCAATAAGAATCACAGTTGTGCAGTTAAAAAATAAAAAACAATGTGAAAAGTAGTAAAAAATTCTTCAAATTTTGGCTGTTTTTCTTGTCTTCAGAATTTTTTCCTATTACTGTGCTTGGTTAATAATTAATATTAAAGCAAAATATGAATAAAATTAACATCATTCAATGGACTGTTGACAACTTAATAATTGAACTGTGAAGCGTGACAAAAGCCCCCATAAAGACGCCGACAATTTATTATTAGAAACACTTGTGCTTTGTTTTTGTAACAAATGCGGCTGCATTTTAGTGTTTCTTTTGTGCTGTCATTGATTTAGAATCTTCTTTTTCTATTTTTCTATTTCTGTTGTGATGATGTTCACACGCAGGTTACCAACAAATTAATCCAATAAGAATAGAAGTTACAAGCATAAGGGAACATTGACAAATGTAAATTGTAAGAAAAAATTACAGTGAGTGTCGCCTTAAATCGTACAGGTGGGATGAATTTTCAAGGGTTAAATGAATCATTTCGGATATTTTAGATAAAGTCGAGAAAAATATTACTTAGAATTAAAATTTTAAATAGATATGAAAAAAAAATCTAATTAAAATTAAAATTTAATTTTAATAGTAATATATATATAAATACTACCAATTTATTTGGTATTTATATATTAAAAAAATTATTGACTGATATAATTTATTTATGGGTAGTACTAGCTACTCAAAGGTTCGGGCGGATTTGGTAACATAAATTTTTTTTAAATAAATAAAAGCGTGAATAATGTAATAGGTCTGTTCCACGAGCTTCTTTGAGTAACACCGTGTATACATAAGTGCTTTCCACCAGCAAATTTTATTACTATTTTAATATTCAAAAATATTAAATAAGTAATTTAGCCACGGTTAGTCACATTTTCTTACTTTTGAAGGAATATAATGCTAGACAAATTTTTTCAATCATAGGAGCGCAATAAAACCATTCGTTCGTGATGTAGACCCAGTTTTTTTTAGTTAAAAAGTAACAAATAGAAACTGAAGGAGTATAACAACCCTGTCGGAATGATAGAATAACACACAAACTTTAATCGCACATTTTCTTTCCATTTCTGTTGATCAGCTGTTTTGCTTTATTATATATCTGAATTTTATGTACCAATGACTATAAATTGGAAATATATATATATATATATATACATATATATATATATATGTATATATATATATATACTTGTTTTATTCATGTGGCAAGGAATTTAAATTATATATTAAAAGAGCAATATTTTGATGTGGATGACGAAACTATAGAAAAAAAATGGTTTTAAGTTTAATTATCACATACGAGTAAGATAATGACTCCGATGATGGAAGGAATTGAGTTATTCGTATTTGAAGCGAAAAGAAGAAGAGTTTCAATAATAAAATGTTTGAAAATATTATATCACCGTATAGTGACATTGAATTCAATAGTTATTTTCATCTCTGGGATCCTTTCTAATTGCTTGTTCACATAATTTTAAAATAGTGAGGAACTTACACCTATTCTGCCGAGTTTGTGCAACATAACCTCAAATGCTCACTTTGCCATATTATGGTTTAGTGGTGACGAAATTTTTTGTTTAAGAGATTTAGTAGATTATCGCTCATTGTTTCCAAGAACAAGGAGTTGTACTTATGTTACAACTATGACTTCCATAACCAATAT